GGCAAGCTGCATGGCAGGCATAACCATATTTAAACTCTCCTGTCAGTGACAAAAACAGAGGAAATTTCATGCATCACTACCTGGTCTTAAAACGTCTGCTTACAACAGAAGATCTGGTAAATATTATAGTATGTGACTAGTAAATTACCAAATGTATCTGTGTATCTTATCCCTTCCTCCCTTTCATTCTCAGTTATACGACACAAAAACTATCCAATAAATTATTTTCACACGTATTGGTAGAGGTCAACCATCAAGCATTGACTATACAATTTTATTCAAATTTCGCTGGTGAGTGAAATCTGCTAAATTAAATTCACAGGAACATTTAAAATTACAATGTTTCATTGGAATTGATCAAAGACAAAAATATTGTAATTCAATACCGCCAAATAAATGCTTTCACTGTATTCAACAGTAGCAAAAATTAAGATTTAAAATATTACAGTGACAATTGCTCAGACAAAAAGTCAAAAACACAACTATGAAATAAAAGAAACCATTTTTCAAGAGTCACCCTTCCTGGAAACATGTATGCATGCAGTCAGAAGTTAAACAATTTGAGTTAAACAGACAGACGCATGGACAGACAGAGACAATAAATAGGGGCCACTTACCCTTGAATTTCCCAATGATAAAAATATATGTCCCAATAAAACTAAAGAACACGCTGTCAATCGATTAAGGTCTTCCGTGTTTGACAATTTTAATGCTTCTCTAAGGTACCTCCTGCAAGTAAAACAAAATAAAAAATATTGTTGAATGAACTACATATATCAGGGCTAATCTCAGTTTTGCTCAGTGTACGGTTTTCACTGACAGGGGCTGCAGCTACAAATGTTAACACTGTACATTAGTTAACCAGCAATCATTTTTCCCGCCAAAATTGTCAACTTTGCACTGACCATTGACTATTTATTGTTTTAATACACAATACAGAAAAAAATTAGTATATTTTGTGAAAAATAAGCAGAAGTTTAGAGAGTTAAACTGTCCTACAAAATCAAACAATAATTTATGACTTACTTTGCTTCATTATATCTAGTTTGAAAGAATGACTGTAGTCCTTTGACGTAAAATGCGGCTGCCTTTAGACTGTGCGAACTTGTGGCAAGATTCTCTGGATTAATTCGTTCCAGCAACGTTATCGTCTGAAATTAAATGAAATATCAACGTTAATGTACAAAATAGAATCTGTAATATTGCATTGATAATGCGTAATTACAGTTTGATGTTTGCGGGAACGAAAATTTGGAAAGATGTTCTGTGACGTATTCAAGACACTATTGAAATATTCAATGCTACAAAATTTAACTCACAAAATCAACTGATGAAATGAAAACATTCAACAGTTTACATAGTCATTATGTCTGTTCATATTTATAATGGAATGCCCAGCCACCTAATTTTCACCCACTAGTTTTTAATGTAAAATAGATTTTTTGTTCAACTGCAAGATTTCGTGTATTGATTTGAAAGATGCAGGCCAAAAATTTCTTCTAGCTCAAAGTCAAAAGGCCGATCTTTAAAAGGGGAATATTCTGTTTAGATACCCTTAACTTCATCGAAATTAACCATGTACAGAACATTATTGAGGGTGGAAATATCCCCCAAAGTATGTTCGCATTTGTCGAATCCAACACGCTACAGCGCTATGACCGTTGTTTGTCCTGTTTTTACGTTCAATTTCATGCATAAAGCAGGATTTCACAGTGAACGGGAAATGGTCTATTTTAGAGAATCGCTACAAGCCAACAATGTCAATAGACGATGATATTAAATACCCTCTCTTACCTCATGTTGTTTGCCACACCTGAGATACACAATAGCAAGATTTAATGATATAAAAATCCATAATTCTGTCTGTGAGGTTAACTGAAATCAATATAATATACAGAGTATGAATAATGGAAGATTAGATATTACTGTATTTGTTCTATTAGTAGTGCATGTGTTTACATAAAATACTCTACAATTAGAATGATACTGTAAAATAATTTATTTTCGCTGGATTTAATTTTCGCTGAAAAGGCTTTTTGGGTGTTTTGTATGGAATTTATTTTCACTGATCTTTGATAAGTTGAATGTAAAATATAGGAAAAAAAGTTATATTCGCTAGATTTTATTTTCACTGAATCATCCTTTCAGCGAAAATTAATTCAAAGCGAAAATAAAGTATTTTGCAGGGCAGTATTACAATAAATGTAATGTTCAGTTTGTAAGCAGTTCTAATAAAAGCAATATTGCTTATGCAATTGAATTAACAGAGCAAAACTTTCGTTTGAATTGTTAGAAAAACTTTCGTTTTGCAGGTTTCAAATATAACAAGATATGCAGTACCGTAACTAATTTAGAGAAAATGGCCACATTTTGTAGTTTCTTAGGACCACCAGGGGAGTCAGGGGAGTGAAACCATTTAAGATAAAATTTTACAATTATGTGAACTAAACTTACACTGTATTTTTTGCAATAGAATTCTCCATCAAAAAAATGATAAAACTCAATTATGAAATTACAGAAAACAGCATTTTAATCAATATTGTAGATTCATATGCGAGTTTTGGAACATTCAAATTGTTAAATTGTAAACACAATAAAAATAGTCTTCCCACACTTCATTCTTATATGAATACCATCATTTTTCTCACCAAAACTGTGATGCAACAATTTGCAAATGTTTATTGTTAATTTTGGACCAAAAAAGGAATTTTTGAAAAGATTTAAAAATTAAGTGTTTAATTTTGTCTATTAATGACAAAGTCGACTTTGACGCTCATTTGGTTAACCCCATAACCTGAGCAGATAAGAAACACGGTAGGTGGGAATAAGGAGACAGTGTCCTACCCGAAGTGCCGTAGTAAACTGTGCTTCTGCACTTTCCATACAATTCATTGACATTGAGTAGAGTCCTAGTAATGTATGTAGCTGCGCTCCGTGCAATGTAAATAGTCGTGGTTGTTGCTGACAAACTAGGCATGCCTGGGAAATCTAAAAAAGATAAACAGAAAAAAACAGTTCGTAAATTCTACTGTAAGGGTGTCTAAGACAAATGACAGTTTCCCGGCAGGGTCTATCAGAATTTTCGTTAACATTTCATGGCTATCCAGTAAACTAAGTGATTTTTCAGAATCACTTAGATTAGCTATTATCTGCATTCTAGCTTCAAGCTGACATCATTTATTGAATAAATATCATTTATTGAATAAATGATAATACCCAGATATATAATGTATTTGTTATAGCTAGACCCAGCTAGCTAGGTTTTGTTTTTAATTGGCGACTTTTTTATGGATTTTTAGAGTTTCACCTGGCACATTAAAACACAGATTCATGCTAAGATTTTGCCATTTTTTCAATTTCTATGCCCTTGCGATGAAATATTTATAACTCTACAATTAAACATTGTGTGTGTGTTCCTGTCACGATGTACACGTCGTAGTACAGTCCACACACAGAAGCAGATTACAGATAATGGATGGCAGGTTTCAGACCGATTTTAATCAACATTTTTGCCCAAATTTGATACTTTCACAAATATTTATTTCAAAGTGGGTAATTTATTCAAATTGGTTGGTAATAACTCCTTATTATTGCTAAACAGAAGATCACTCTGTGATACATTTACAGACTTTAGATCATAAAATATGACCTGTATTTGATGGAGAATGAGCACAAAATTCTTGTGATAAACAGGATCTTATGCTGTAATGCACAGCCATTTACAAAAGCAGACCGGCAATTCGAACTGGTTCTGTTTTCGTTGATATTAGTTACTGAAGAGTCACTCTTCATTTTCATAACAGAAAAATTCCAAATACTGTTCAGGGAAAACAGTAGAATTATCTTTGAACATATAACAACAGCTATGGAGCAGTGACTGATTCTCCGAGTGATCAGGCACATACTACCACAGCAGACACAATGCATGAGAAAACAACCCATACCTCTTGTATTGCCAATGATTTATTTCCCAAGACCAGCCGACACATAATAATATGCTCAAGTAACATAAGTTGAAATGCTGACAGTATTGGATGGGAATCTAATATTTTTAATTTGCCAATTTGGAGCAAGGCTTTGTCTGTGTACTTCTGGGCTTTGTCCATATACCCCGCCTGCATTGAATGCATTACTGTCACCTAGTAACGTAACGAAAACAATATATATAGTCAGAATGTTATGGATATAAAAATTTGAACAGAACTGTCAAAATTTGCTTGCCGAACACAGAAGGTGCTGTTTAAAAGATGTGACATTTGAATGAACAAAGAGGACAAAGTTGAGGGCGCTGTTGAAAAGGCAAAATTTGAATAACCAGGGGTGCATTTGCTTGTGATTAACCAATCACGTTTGCTTGTTAGATTAGGTTCAGTCAGAATAATCAAACTCTGGGCAATGTTTATTGTGTTATATTATTGCCCTTTACGGTGAATGCACATAGCCTCGTTTCAGTAAGGCCAGACTTTTACTATCCCTTGTTTCGCGAACCCGCCGAACAGGTGCCGAAAATGAAATAAAAATAAAATTTTATTTCAGCGTAATTTCTCGTGCCCGTCGACTTGTAAGCGCAAAAAAATGCTAAAAAAATATAATTTTTATCTTCATTTTTTTACCGCCCACCGCATAACAAATCCAAGTTGCATTTTCGTGGGAGTATCATGATCAAACTACCGAAGTCTCGCGCAGATGAGACAAGGTTATACATGGAATAAAATTTTATTTCATTTCTTCTCTCAGATCAATGATCTCACTTACAATTCTTTGAGAATCACACAAATCTAATCTAATCGCCCTCTTCAGAAAAATTGCCTTATAAAAACTCGAGAAACAAGGAATAAAAAAAGTCTGGCCTAATGACATCAAACTAATCATGATCATGTAAATCCACAGAGAGGTAATTTTGAAGTTAAGCTGAACACAGAGGGCGCTGTTGAAAAGACATGACATATGAATGACCAAGGAGGACACTATAAAAAGTTAGGTCAAACACAAAGGACACAAAGATTTGAATGATCAGAGTAAAAACAATTGAAGTCCAACACTGAGGGCGCTGAAAAGGGCTAAGGATCAGAAGAGAGGTAAGCTAATTGATCAGAAGTAAGTAGGTAGGTAGGTAGGATTTTTGTGAATCCAAGAACTGGTCCAAGTTGACCAGTGTGATTTGTGTCACACATCTTGGAAATTCAAACAAAACAAAATAAAATAAAATTGTAAATTAGGAAAACAGCACATAATGTAATAGCGAAAATTTTCTCAATCACATCAAAAACCAGTTCAAACATGCTGGTATGCTGAAGGTTTGGATAAATAAATGTACAAGAAAACACTTACCAAATATACCAGTACGCACATGTGTTCTTTTGGCAACCAATGAAACAGATCAGCTGGGTTACTGGAGGGTGGCTCTATGAATTGAAATCAAGATATTCTGATTAGCATGATAATATTACAAAATATATGATAATTGGCTTTTGTATAATAATAATAAACTTTCCTCAGTGCAAATGTGATTTTAATATACCATCAGATCCATAATTGTAAAGCAACGTTTTCAGGTATTTTTCTATGAAATCCTATTTTGGATGAAATAGACACAATTTCCCAATGGCAAAATGTTTGAACAAAATGGGGGACACTGAGGTGAGGCTTACCAGCATAACCTCGTACAAGAAGGTCCAATAAATACTGTGGAATTTTTTGCTGGAATTCATTTTCGCTGAAAAGGCTTTTTGGGCCTTTTGTATGGAATTTATTTTCACTGAATTTTGACAAGTTTAATGTGAAATATAGGGGAAAAAAGTATGTTCGCTGGTTTTTATTTTCACGGAATCATCCCTTCAGCGAAAGTAGCGAAAATAAAGTATTCTACAGTAAATAATAAATATGTTAATGAATGCCTTATCAGAATTCACTTCATACAATGAAATGAACAATATCAATTGAACATGGAAAATGAAATGAATGAGCAGCATGTACAGACCAGGACGATTCTCAAAATTCTTCGAAGACTCACCGTCGTCTGAATGCAAGACTGTAATGGCCTGTATCGATTGCTGCAATTGTTTTAAACATGGTTTGACACTTTTCACCTGTAAACAAAGAATAAATACAGTTTATGAATCTGACCATAGAGGGCAGCACACAGAAGAAATTAAAGAAGCACTGTTCAAATCAATTATTTAACACAAAAGAGAAAGGTGTCCTTTCTGTTGTGTTTTATTTTACTAGTTTAAAATTCAATGACGTACCTGCCCAGCTACGAGAAAATGGCAGACTTGTAGAACTAGGAAAAATACTTTGAGTGATTCCTGGTGTGTCGGATTGTTCCGACAAGACTCAATTAATCCTCCACACGTTGACAACACTTGATGAACTTCTGTTAATTTCTTTTCTAATAATAAAAGCTGCAAACAAATTTGAAGAATAATGTGATTATTTAACAATTACATATGTAGGAGTTATTTTACTGGGACACTTGAAACAGCTGTTTGGGCTATTTAACCAGATACAGAGTACTTAGAGCGTATCACTGGGTTTAAATATCATGAATTTACCAGGGAAATGAAGAGTCATTACTTAAAGACAAGATTTTTTTAAACAAATAATGAAATGCTATTCCCACAATGTAAGAAAGTGTGATATTTGAAACAACCGTTTAGGGGCTCCATGAAACAGATTTGAATAGGATGAATGGGAACAGAATGACACTGGGATGGTATACAGTGCGACATTTGCCTGTAATCCAGATTTGTGTATTTATACTATTCGTGTAACTTATTCATCGCATTCATGTTAATCATTCATTGCCACTCATCATGCTTGGGAGCGAATAGACTGAGCATGGTAAATCTACATTTTCTTGTATCAGTTCTGCTACTTATTCAAATCCAAGGCGAAATGTTACAAATGCAATTATTGCGTGGTGTTGCTCAAATACTGTAGTTCTGAGATATCCACAGCACCCCAACTATGTGAAACATTTGTATATATATACCAACGGCAGAAAAGCACTTACCATGCCCTTGCTGAGTAGAAAGAGACATCGTGTGTATTCCGAGTTTGCCATGCAAGCGTAGTCAGCGCCTAGACCAAGTAACTCGCATGACGATATATAATCCTTTTCAAATGTATGGATTTGCTGGAAGAAAGAAATTGACATAAGTTAAACAACTGAAGACTTGCCCACAAATAAATAAACAAAAACATGTAGGTAAGGCAGGTCAGATTTTTTTTTTAACTTTATGCTAGATGATTAACACCAACTCAAGTGACTTAGTTTTCCCAGTTTAGCCATAATTAGGTTTCATTCAAGTCTCATTGAAATCTTGTGTATAATCCGGTCCTATATTTTCATGTTAAGCCTCAAAAATGTATGTAAATCAATGTATGTAACGCTACCAACCCAATGCCATGC